CATGATTTTGAAGCGTGCTTTTGCTTGAAAAAAAAGGCAAAAGATAAATGAAATCAATAATATGAAGCCAGGCCTTTCCATATAAATTCAATAAATTTATTCTTTATATAGAAAAGATGATAGGATTTATCTGACTCAAGTGTTATATACACTTAATTCGCATTAAAAATCCAGTAATGAATTCACAGAATTTAATTTTGTGCTAATAACTAGTGTCCTAAATAGCCTTCAGTTTCTGGCTAAAAGTCTGCCCTAATAGCTCGTAATTTAAGGCCTTTCTATACTCAAATTATCACCCAGACTTATGCCCAGGAAAAACCCCAACAAAATGCCCGAGTCTCCCTAAAAAAATCAAGGAAAAAGAGAAAACTTCCCCTTGAATAAAAACTTTAACGACAGATACAAAATTAAGTTGCAAACAAAAAAAGCCAAAAAGCCCATGTACTTGTCACCCCAAACCAGCTTGGGAAAAAAGAGCAGTCAGGAAAAGTCTGCAGTAGGAGAAGGAGGAAAACCAGGACCAGAAACAGGAGCAGGAGCAGGGGAAAAGGGAAAAAGCCAGCAAGGAAATCAGGCCCGGCACACTTTGCCTTTAGCTGCGGGCCAAAAGTCGTCGTCGCTTTCAATTATAGCCGTGAGTTTTCTCTGTCCGGAGAAAACACAAACACACACACACACATATATATATATAGCAAACACACACAGCCCTATAAATCCACACATATACACTGGCAGAAAAAGGTATAGGTATAGAGAGCCATTAGCCTAATGTGTGCTTATTGCGCACGCTTTGGAACAGACGCAGGTTGGTTTAGTGGGCCGAAAACAAGAGGGGGGTGGGAAAATGCCACAGGGGGCAGGGGAAAATGGGGAAAATTCAGCAGGAGAATGAGGAAAATTCCGGGCTAGATGTGGGGGGGGGGGAAATACACACAAAAGGGGATGCCAAAAGGATGTGGCAACCGCAAAGACCCGGGTATAACTTGCCACTTTGTCTGACCCAACAGCAGGGGGGAAAAAGTCGGGGGAAAGTGGGTGGAAAATGGCTGCCCCAGGGGGGGTGGCGGAGGCAGAGGTTGTGGGTGGTGTCTGGGCCAACCGCAAACAAACAAACACTGTCGAGCAACAGAGACAGCAAAGAGAGAGAGAGAGAGAGCACAGCATCTGTATCTGTATCTGTGGCTGTATCTGCAGCTGCATCTGTATCTGTATCTGTAGACGTATCTCCATTGCTCTGTACATATATACAAGAGAGATATACATAGCTGAGTTGCTTTATATAGAGGCTAGTGCATAATGAATGCGAAGATGTGCCCGCCCTATTATCCTGACTCCTCCCTCGACTCGTGTATCTCAGAGATACATAGCCGCATTCTGATAGGAAAAATCAGGGGATGCTTCCAGCTCTCTCTCTCTATGCCAGTTGGATGGCTTGTCTCTCTGTCTCTATGCCTCTCTGTCTCTCTGTCTGGCATCTCCCTTCCACTGTTAGCCTTGTGCCCGCAAGGATTCGAATCAGAATCACCAAGTCTCGGTTTCAGATAATAATGACAGAGCGAACTGACACAGATTTCCCAGTAAAGGTAGCCAGAAAGAGAGGTGGTCTCTGGGAGAAAACCCAGGGAGAGAGAGCAAGACAGGGAGATGCTGGGAGAGAGAGAGAGAGCACCCAGAGAGAGAGAGAGGAGGTTTCATCCCCTGGTTTTTTTTGAGGAAGACACACACAGGACATCTGTGATCTGTGGATGAGAAGCGAGAGGAGCGGACCAACCACCAAAAGCGAATCCGCATCCACAGCCGAATTCCCATTGAGAAATCCGAGCCGAGAATCAGAGAATCCGAGAATCCTCAGCGCCTGCAGACAATTTCTCAGTTCGTTGCTGAGCGTGCTGGCAATCGGAATTGAAATCGGAATCGGATTCCCAGTCGCTCTGGCTATTTCGCTGTTGCTGTCGCAGTTTGCCTGCGCCGTCGCTGTCGCTGTCGCAGTCAGCGTCTCTGCCACACACACATTTTCCGACACAACAACAAAAAGACTTCATATATATAATTTTTTTGCTGGCAGTCTTGCGAAGACAACCGGCAGATAGAGACGACACCGTGGAATAAATCTCCTCTGAAAGAATAATATCCGGAATATATCAAGTATACGCAGTGATGTCGCCGCGTCGCGTGTTATGAAAGATATATCTTTAGCCAAAACTAACACCGCGTTGTGTTTATTGTGATAATTACAAGTAATAGTTTCTTGAAAGCCGAATCATGCTGTTCGATCGATATGTCATATCAGGTTGGTGCCAAATGACGCGAAAATAAAAGGAAATACATATATGAAAGCCTAGTTCCCCAGAATCTAAATAAGTTTTCAGCCTTAAAAGCCGTTTACAAATGGTTTTAACTTTAATTGGCGAATCGAAAGTGAATCAGAGTTTGATTTAAGAAAATGTGTTGAATGTAAAACTGAGTTTAAAAGTGGGAATAAGTGAGAAGAGACTAAGGGATCTTACCATAAATCAAATTAGACCCTAAATAACAGTAATTATAAATATAAAACCAAGAAAAATATTTCCAATAATATTCATAAACATGAAACTATGAAAAATACTCCTTAATAATGATGATAAATTAAATACATTTATATTTATAATTATATTAAAATTGATTAATAATGACAATTATTATAAATAAATATTTATAGACCCAGTCAGTGTGTTTAAAGTTAAAATACTTATATATTTAATCTAAAAGATTGAGGGAAATTAGATGTTTTTGAGGTAAATTTTACCAATAGCATTTTAAAATATAAAAAGATTGCTTAAAATAATTATTATTCGTTTGTCAGTACAAACTTTTTTACAGAAACACACATTTTTTTTACAAAGTTTAATTATTAGAAAGTAAATTAAGAAAACAATTAGGGCAATAATCGTTTTACTTATATATGTAAATATTTATTTTTCATTTAACAATCCAATGTTTTCATTTTAAGTTTCGTTCTTTCTTAAAATTTCCCTAAAAGTAAATCTATTAACAAACAAAAGACCCGTTTAAAAACCAACTGCAGTTTAAGATTAGCCTAAAAACTATTACCCCATCAGCAAAAAACATCTTTTAATCTTAGCCTAAACTTTTAATGACTAGAAACAAGTTAAAAACCTCCAAGTGCCATTTAAATCGATACCTACTTATCCACCCTGAGCCACAAATGTGATTACCTAAAAAACAAATTAGTTGAAAGCAACCAGAAAGGTGGTGGAAGGGGGGAAAAGGCGGAAAAACCCGCTGAAAACACTTGTACTTTGTGTTAACAGCAATTGGGCTGTCCAAATAAACTCTCGAGAGAGAGGGCGGCCTTTTGAAGTGGCCCTAAAGGACTTCGCTTAACGGTGTGAAGCCGTCGGCAAGCGAAAGAGAGACTCAAGAAGATCTACAGGACACTAAGCAAACAAAGCGTGCCGGCCTGCAGGATGTGCGAAATTTAAAGCAGGTTGTTGTGTTAGCAGGTTAACAAGGACATTTGAGGAACCCGAGAGACCGAGAAACCGTAACCGAAACCGTAACTGAAACCTCAACCGATATTTGTTTGCCCTGCTTTGTGGCTTATTTATTTATACGTCCGATACTTATCTCTGTCCCTCCGGTTGCTGTGTTCTTTGGTGTTATCTGTGGAAGCGCTGTCATATTTTGTCTAACAGCTCAAATTACGATTTAGTTTCAAGTGGCCCGAACGATGTCCGATGGACGATTGACAAGACAAGGAGGGCCCCGTGGCCGTAAAGCAAATATCAATAATCGCCGGGTAATTTGTGCGTGTCTACTTATGTTCCAAACCCACCGATAATCTAACAAAGGCAAAGAGTGCTTTTTTATTGGTATATTTTTTAAACTTGACAACTTGGCAATGCCCTTTGGGGGTTAAGTTTTAACTAGGATGGCACTAGGTGGTTTTTAGACTTCTTTGAAAATATTTTTTTATAAATCTGGGACTAGTAAAAATGATTTGTTGTGTTTTTTACGAAAATATCAATAGTTGTCTAGATTTTTCATTTTTCCTAATAGGTTTCTTTCATACTTTTTGCAGAATTACTTTAAGAAAAAAGGTTTCAGCCTTGAAATGGTATATTTTTTTAAGTTTGGGATTAGTCTGATTAATTTTTGTATTTGTACAATTCTTTTCTTTTTTTTACATAAAAAGGTATAATTTATATACTTTTTTTGACTTTCTAGCTAATTAATGTGTTGATTTTTTCTGTAACTTTGCTTAAAAATCCTTAAAATATCTATTAAAAATATATATATAGTCCTTGGCTCACAAACTGGCTCCTAACTCAACTTTAAATCTCTAAATCCAAGGCTTCTAAATTTACTAGCATTTTCTAAATGATTAAGGTACCAAGTGCAACCCTCCTGCTCATCTTCGTTTAATAAATCCTTTTATCCTTGACTCTCCTGTCATTTGCTTTCCAAACCCAAGTCCTTGTCTTGTCTTCCTATCTTTTAATTTAATCAACAGACAGCAGTCGTGTCCAGCAGTCACATCATTTAAATATCGTCGGAATTATTGTGTCAACAGCAAAAAAAAAAAAGAAAAGAAAAGTAATAAAAAATAGTTGAAATATTTTCATAGCGATATTCAAACAGATTCCAATTCTATTTGCTCAGCCTGCTCGTGGGGTATCGGATACTCCCTGTCTCCGTTAGAAAAGGGTAGTGTCCGGCCAGAGACACCTGAAAGATAGTGAAAGGTGTATTGTTTTGTAGATATTTCTGTCGCCGGGCGTTGTCGTTGGTGCATTGCAAAATTACCCAGAGATAGATACACCCTCGAGTGGGCAGTACCAGGAGGTGATTGTCATCTCTCTGTGGAACTCTATTTTCGGCATTCTGACTTGACAGCTCTCAACTGATTAGGATTAGTGGAGGAGCTAGAGGAGAAGCCAGCGGTCGTCGGAAAAGTCATTTCTAATCGGTATCTCCTCTTCTCTCTTTACACTCGACAGGCTCCAGTGGCGACGACTTCGATCCTAGTGCTAGTGCTGTGCGTCACCACCATCGCCTGGATCACCATCACCTAGATCATCATTTGGATCATCATCATCTCGATCTCAGTGCCAGGAGTCAGGCCTTTGCTGGTCTGCCCTTAGAGCAATCCCTTGAAGAGCATTCTCCCACCAGGGAGGATCATCATCACCTACGCCAGCATCCGTTGCAGCAGCTCCAGCAGCCACCGCCGCCCACGTTGCCCTTGGACTCGTCAGCAGCTGCCATTGCCGGTGAATCCGGTATGGAGCACTTCTTCAAGGATCCCTCCCAGGCGGAGCAGATTCTGCAGGAGTGGGCGAGACGCCGGGAACCCATCAGTGAACTGGACATCCGGGAAAGTGGTGTCTATGCCAAGACATCCTTGGAAAGGGGCACCCGCTATGGTCCCTTTCCCGTGAAGCTCTGCCATCAGCCCAACGATTCACAGCTGGCCTGGAGGGTGAGTCTTTTGTTGCTTATTTAATTTTTTTAATTTATTTAATATATATTTTATATGATATATATATATTTTTTTACCTAATTTTCACTTTTAACAACAAATGTCACACATTTTCCATATTTTTCACCCAAAAATCTACAATTACTTTCCACCACAAAAATATATATATATATTCCCAAACAATCACTTTACAAATCCCTCAACTGATGTCCCCGGAAAACTATATAATATATGACCCAACAGAGCGGACCTTAAGCCTTTCACACGTGTGTACATATATATTTCTAGGCAGTCTCAAATTTCCGTTTTTCACATTTCCCATTTTTTTTTTTTTGGGAAACTTAATCCCATCAGAATCGTACCATATAGATTTTTATGTGCGAAAATTGCACAAGAATTGCAAGCGAATTGAATCTATTTTTTTGGGGGTTTTTCGCAGGGAAAATCAAACGATTGGAAAGAGATTTGATTAGCAGGACTCCTCGAGGGTATCAATTGTCAGTCAAATGTGCCTAATCCCTGGCCAGAGCTAATTTTGCCCAGCCTGGGTATAAAAAAAAAAAAAAAAAATCCACAAAGTGCACCCCAAATGAGGCTTAAGTCGGGGCCGGCTGATGATTCCAATTAGGGGAATGCTCACCGAAAGGGAGAACCCTTCGATCTCGGTTGTCAGTCAGTCAGTCAACTGACACTTCCTCCCTTGCACAGAAGCCAGGGCAGACACAGACACAGACACAGACAATCCAATCAAATTATCGCGCCTCGTCCTGTTGACAAAATCCCTATCCTTCTTACCTACCAAACTCAGGTATTTCTCTGTGTGTTCTGCTCTACAAAAATATTGTTTCTGCCACTCGAGCAAAAATTGCAAAAATAACACACGAGATCCCTTTTCGCATTTCGGTTTCGTGCCTTTATTTCTGGATGATCCTCAAATCAAGCGCACTTTTATCGCTCACATTTCCGTTTTGACAGATACATTGGCTGTTTCTGTATCTCAGCCTGATCCTCCGGCAGAAGGATCTGCGATCCGTTCTGGCAATTCGAAGCCAGTTCCCTTGGCTCTCCTCGAGATTATCTCTGGCGCGTAAATATTTTCCTTGCCCATTGACTGTGTCATGTTTGGCTGCTGCTACTGCTGCCTGTGGCCTCCTTTTTAATAAAGTTATGAATAGTGGAATGAATGGGCAAAAGGACATGTGTGATGTCTGTCCGGGATTAACAGCAACTGGAAGTATTTGTCACCCAGTTTCACTAGACTATAGTTGTACAAATGTGTCTCAATGATCTTATCACTTTTTAGTGGCTTCCTCGGATTGCAGTTTTTTTTTCAGTTTGAAAAAGGATATCTGTTATAAAACGATTTTGATTGAGATTAATCTTTAGAGATAAAGAAAGACATGTGGGAACTTTGAAAGATATGGGATGTCAGCAAAGTACTAGTACTTCTTGTATTAAAAATTTGATAAATAATATTAACAAAAATATTTACGAGTCAATTTTGATTATTTATTTGAATTGTAAACTTAAAAAATAAAAAAACACGTTTTTCAGGTAAAATCTCCCAAAGAAAAGGTTAGAAAAATGTATATATTTTTTCTTGTCCTTTGCCTTAATATATATAGCTTTTCCCTTGACACTTTCCTTTCCCTAATAATTATTTTTAATATAAAAAATTCCCCCGTTTTTCTTTTAAAAACTAAACCCTTATTAAGTATATATTTTTGCAACTATAACTTTTGTATAAGCTCTCTTTCTACCCCGTCTTATATGTATATAAAATGAAAACACAGACTCTGCAACCTACTTGTTCAGCTTAACCACTTTAAAAATTAAAAAAATGGTAGAAAAAAAACATGCACACCCTCGTGATAAAGTTTATTTCCCTTATTTTTTAGCAAGAGAATTTATATATATAAACTCCCATTTATTATTTTTTTTTTTCGCTCTGAAGAAGAAGCCACTTGAGGCGTTGTTAACTTAATTTTTGGAGCGTGCACACACATATGCCGCACTCACACACACACTCGTACACACACACCTACCACTTAATCGCAAACTGTAAAATGCCGTTTTTCCAAATGACTTCATAGACAAGAGCCTGACGGCGGCTGCTCGTCGGCGGCTTGAACGTTGCGCATACGCAAAGTCATTCAGTTCAGGCCACAAAAGTTGAGTTGCTTTTTTTTCGGTTTTTCGAATTTGATTTTTAATTTGTGGTGTGTGTGTGTGTGTGCTTGTTGTGGCGTCGCCACGTCTAAGGCAGTTTTCGCAGCAGCCGCCGCTAACGATTTTTGTGTAAATTATGCGTATTTTAGCCTGGCGCCCGGTCTCTGCCGCTGCTTTTATTTTGTATACAAAAACTGTCGGTGGTTTTTGTTTAGTTTTTCGTGTTTTTTTCTCTCCAGTTTTTTCTCCACTTTTTCTCTGGGTTTTTTGTTTATTATTTTTTTGTTTTCCTGGCTCGGTTGCAGTTTCCCCCTTGTCTGCCGCCAGTGACCTTGAGTTTGCGGTGCAGACTGGTGGGCGGCAGCAGGGCACTCTTGATGGGCAAATGTCTTGCTGGGTTTGCTTTTGTTTTTATTATTTTTATCGGTGGGCTTATGGGGCTTATTAATTGATTAAATATTGAGGGGGGGGAGTTTAGGAAATTGTATTTAATTGGAAAACATTTAACATTTTATATTTATAATAAAATAATAAGAATTATGGAGACTGATAGTAAAAAAAAATATTGAATTCTATTTCAAGTTGATTAAAAGTTTTTCAAATGAAAAATAGTTTGAGAGAATGATTAATAATAATTTCAGAATAGTATTTTCAGAATTTTTCTATATTTTATAGTTTTTGTTGTAAATAAATAAAAATAACCATTTTTTAATAATTTTTTTTTATGAATTATTAAAAAAATGCAAACTAAAATATTCATTTTTACATGAAAAGTATTTTTTACACACCGTATAACACTTAAAAGGCCCAGCCAAGTGGTTTGCGTCTAGGCTTGTCAGTCCAAATAGCACAGTTACCCCTAGGCATTCCACAGATGGCGCCACTTGTTCCTTTGCAATCCCATTTACCTGTTTCATTAATTTAAAATTTAAGCTTAAAACAGCCTAAAAAAATATATAAAAAATAACCCATATATTTCCCCTTATCTACAGGCCCATGCCGAGCACTTTAATGGCTGGCTAGAGCCCACATCTGATGTTTCCGGTTGGCTAAAGAAAATCCGCGTCATAGATGACAACGAATTTATAGCCAAGGCCAATCTGGAGAGTTTCATTAATGGCGGTTGTGTAAGTGTTAAAAAAAATTCAACTCCTTTGACCCCTTGACCCTTCCCTGACACGTGCCACTATTTTTTTACAATTATTTTTCATTATTTTCTCCCGCATTTTGTGTATTTTTTAATAGCTATATTACGAAACGAATCGTTATGTGAGTGCCGGCAGCGAAATGATTGTGGATGGTCGACCCAAGAGTCCCGTGCAGATCAATGAGAGCTTCATGAACGGCGGCGGGGTCCTGGCCGCAGCTGCAGCAGTGGCCGCAGTGGCTGCCGCCACATCTTCGTCGGCGGGGTCGGGTGGAAAGAGCGGCAAGGGGTCATCGGTGCCCAGCGATGATCGCAGTGATCGTGATAATGGTGAGTTTATTTTTGAAATTTATATTTAATTATATTGGATAAGGGTTTCTGGAAAGTTTAGGCTGATTTTAAGGCAAATGCTTTTACATTTTGTTTAGTATTTTTAAAAATATTTAAGATAATTTTATATAATTTAATTACTTGGACTTCAATGCAGTTTATTGAATTTTATTTAAATATATATTTTATTTTTTTTTAAATTATATTTTATTCGATATATAACCTCTTTATATTCCTCTATTAATTCATAGACCCCCTTTACTTTCCAATTCCCTTAATTTGTAACCCAAAAATAATGTGTTAACCAAAGAATAGTTAGTTAAAAATCCCCACGGACTCTCCTGGCTCGATTTCATCTCGATTTTAATGTATTTCCTGTGTCCATGCTGGTGTGGCTAATAAGCACAGCTGTGGTCCCCGGCAATTAATGCTCCTGAATCCGCATCCGTGTCAGGATTTTTTCGGTGGCAATGCCCGTGACAATGCTACTGGCACGAGCGGCAACAATTCCAAAGCAAATGCGATACGATCTCTCCGGCTTATGAGGGTCACCGAACAGCATCCCTTACCCAATATGAGCGAGCACCCTTTTGCCTCCCCTAAAAACTACGATCAATTTGTGAGTCTTGGGCGCATGCGTCCGTGCAATATTGCGGCAACCGCACATGTTTTCATTTGTTATTAAAATGTTTGATAATTTCATTAGAGAGATCCATCAGCAAACAAAGAGGGTGCCGAGATTGTGTCAGCGATATGTCGTCAGTCGGCGATATATACCCTGTATATATGGCACACGCTCAATTTAAGCCTAATCCTGCAACCCTCCCGGTACGTGTTTGATTATAAACATGTGGGATTTACGGACAGCTCATTTAACAGTTTCACACTCTCTCTTTCTCTTCGCTAATAATTATCAGAAATTTAAATCTCACTTCGGGTTTAAAATTTGAATATTTAATGAATACAAAGGCTAATCTCTGCGATCATAGTTGGCCTTACAAGGATTTTCCATTAGCTTTGGCAGTTTTTGAAATTTAAATTAAAGCTAAAGCCAAGTCGCAAGTCTGAAAGTCTGAAAGTCCTGTTTTCCAACCCGCTTTTTCCCTTTCAAAGTGAAATATAAAATAAAAAGGACACCTGTGTAGGAGAGTTGACTTTTTAACGTATTTTCGTGCAAGTTTTCTCGCAGTTCATGCTTCGCTGACCGGGAAAATTCCTTCCCTTGACTTTACGCTCTGGCAGAAGACGAGAAGTCTGTCGACTCCAGATGTCCTGGCACAAGGATATGTTAGCACGGGGGTGGCAATGCGATCACTGTCACAGAACACGAAGTCCCTGGAAAGGTGGCAAGCAGCGATCGTAGTGTGGTTGAAAATATATAGCAAAAGATCGCTGGATTTTCAGGGATAGTTACTACTTTTGACCGTTACTTTTGCGAAAGGAATACCTAATGAGGGGAGTGAGTTTGGGAATTTTCTGGTAGGAAAATGCAAATGATAATGGTCAGGAGGCAGGAGGGTTATATGGTAAAAGCATGGGAAAGGTTTTTGAATGTAATTTAAGTGGGAAAAATACTTTAGAAATAGAAAAAAAGAGATATATGTATATAAAACATCACAAGTATTTTTATAACTTAACATTTTTATTACTTAATTAAAGTTCACAATTGCCAAACCTGAAAGACTTATCAAATTCAACTTTAAAATCAAATCCCAAGACTTTAATAACTCAAATAAATCCCATAAAATCACCAATCAACTTGGTTAAATAGTCAATTTTAAGCTTCAAGCTCTTATCTCATTTCGCTAATACCCTAGCTACTAACCAGCCATTCCCTCAATCACTGCCAGTAAAAACCAACCCACAAAGTTGTCAACTACACCAAAGCTCTGCCTTCCCTTCACCTTGGAGCAGAACAGAAACCATTCCCCAAAAAAACAGAAAACGAAACTTAAACGAAACCCCAACCGAGCGAAACGACACTTTTGAGATGGCTTTCGGCTCAGGTCCGCGGCAAGTCTTCAATCGACCAATCAAACAATGGAACAAACTACAAACACGAACACATTCTCGCAGATACGTTCAGGCAGACCAAGCCCCTAAACGAATCTAACTAAGAGATACAGATGCCGAGATACATTGACACTTTGTCGCTGCTCTGATGGATGATTAATGAGCCAAAAAAACAGAATACCGAAATAAAAAAGCAGAATTAAATAAAAGGCTCGTGTCGCGGCGTGGCGTCTTCGGGTGTCACAATTTTTGGGCATCATTAGGAGTGCCGCCTAACCCTTTTTTATATATATACTCTTTTTTTTCTAATCGATTAGCAGGCGGATCTAAGTTTGATTTTGCAGCAGCAAGTTGTAAGGTGTAAATAATTCAATCAATCATTTGTCAACAGTTTCGGCTTCCGTTTAGCCAAGCGCTCGAGTCAGGGTCAGGCTTCGGGTTTTCAGGTTTTCAGGTTTTCGGCGATATGTAATTGGCATGTCAGAAGAGTTAAAGAGCTGCTGCTGTGGTGCTGTGTTGCTGCCCCGCCTCCCCATATAATCCACATCCTGAATGATGCTGAATGGATCCATTGAGTTGTCAGTTCTCTCTGTGTGTTCCAGCTGCCTCCGGGGAATAAAGGGAGAGGAGGCTTCTGCCTGGTGAAAGGCGTGAAAGGACGACTGTTTGGTTAGGGTGTAGAAGATGATGACAGTCAGGACGGGGAGGCAGGACAATTGCCTAAATGATAAGGAATTGATTTGGCTGAACAGCAGACAGGCGAAATTGGGGTTTTTTGATTAATTGTTTCGGCTAAGCTGGTATTAAAAGAGTTAATAGAACAGGGATTACTGATTTTTTGAAGGTTCTTTTAATAGAAAAATATTATTGATGAGTAGAAGTGAATGTTTCGTAAACATATTGTGGCAATAATTAAATCTTAAAAATTTTTTAAAGGTTAAAAAGCAGGGATAACTGATCTCTTAATTCTAAAAATTATTTTTTATCTTAATAAATTCCCAGGAACCTGATGAAATTTTTAAGTATTTTTCCAAGTCCAGCTGCTTCTTTAGGTGGCAAGTAGGTTCCCAGGAATCCTCCCTACTAAGGTCGAGCATACGTTTTCCCAGGCCACCTACTGCCTCACCTCACCCCACCCTCATCCACTCCCACTCCTAGCCTCACTCACCCATCCCGGCATACCATATGTCGCAGAACCTTCAGAACCTACTCCTGAAAAGTCAGTCTTCCGCCCTACGAAGGATAACTCCTACCCTCCTGAATATCCCACACTTTCCCACCCAAAGTTCAAGTGCGGCCCACCCTCCGAGTAGGAAGGAAAAGCAACCTCTTGGACGTGGGAATCTTCGCTCTGCCCTTTGCGGCCATATTGCACACGCTGAAAATTAACTTTTGACCCAAAACAGCAATTACCACATACTATATATACACATATAGTACCGATCGCGAGAGGGGGTGAAACACCCACCCTGTTGGGCTGTGGAGGGGGTGGTGTGCATTGCCTTGAGAGGCAACACCTGTTTGGAAGCCAAGGCAAGGTGCCACATATATATGACTTTGAAGCGAAATCAGTCCAATGGAACCATAGCACAGAGAAAAGGCAGTTAGAGGTTCATAGGTTGAGGGGTTGACTGACTGCTGACCCCTCGGATGTGATGTGTTTGCATGCATAATCTCTGGTCATCGCCGTCATCCCTTAGCAGCTCTTTCTATCTCTGTGTGTGTTGGTATTGTTAGTGTGTTTGTATTGGTGTCACCTGGTGGTTGTCCACTCTGCCCCCACTCTGTCCACCAGCCCTGTGCTAAGTAGCACCCTACCCCGCCTTCTTGGTAGAAACTACTAGTGGTAACCCCCTTCCCAACCCCTAAAACAGCGCCTCAGCTCTGCTCCTCAGCCGCTCTGCTCATATTCAACACTCATTTCCCCTAGGAATAGTTTAAAAAGAGGATACACTGGAGGAAATCAGTTTTAAAGAAATATTTTGGGTTAGAAACAAAAAGAAGAAATGGGAATATTTACATAATATTGAAGAATTTAAAAGTATAAGCATAAAGTAAAACTAAATCGATGCTTTTTTATAACTATAAAATTATTTTAGCTAAGAAAATGTAACTAAAATCATTTAAAAAATGGTTAATAATCTCGATTTCACTTTTTTATCTTTTCTAAAATTTTTTCTCGAAATTTCTTTTGCTGTTTAATATATAAAATACTTTAACTTTTCTCCCCGTGTACCTTGTGTGCACTTGGCACTCGTCGGGAGTTGGCCAAGTTAACGGAGCGGAGGGCCAAAAAAAAAAAAAAACAAGAAAGAAAGCTAACTTCGGCACGCCGAAGTTTGTATACCCTTGCAGATTGGTTTTCATATTTATGTCATAAATTATAATGCCGAAAACAGACACTAAACTGAGTTACATACCATTTTACCTATACTTATTATGTTTACAGTTTGACAGTTACAGTTTACATTCCCAGCTTTACATTTTCTCTACATCTACGGATCAGCTATATGATATAGTTCTCCGATTTTCATAATATCGTTACCAAAATTCTGAAATAATACTAAATGCTCATGCCTCAAAGTAGATGAAAATACGTTGAAAAACAACGAAGTTATAATTTTTTCTATCGTTTTCCCTATCGTTCCTATAGCAGCTATAAGATATAGTCGTCCGATTTTCATTAAATTTTTACCAAAATTTTGAAATAATACCAGAAGCTCATGTGTCAAAGTAGATTAAAATACGTTGAAAAACAACGAAGTTATAATTTTTTTGATTAATTTCCCGATCGTTCCTATGGCAGCTATAAGATATAGTGGTCCGATTTTCATAAAATTTTTACCAAAATTCTGGAATAATATAAAAAGGCTATATCTCAAAAATGATGGAATAATATTGAAAAACAGCCAAGTTAAAATTATTTTTCTAAAAATTTATCGAACATTTGTATGGCAGCTATATGATATAGTCGTCCGATCCGGCCCGTTCCGACATATATAGCAGTGAGAGTATATAGAAGACTATATGCAAAGTTTCATTCAGATAGCTTTAAAACTGAGGGACTAGTTTGCGTAGAAACGGACAGACGGACGGACAGACGGACAGACGGACAGACGGACGGACAGACGGACAGACGGACATGGCTAGATCGACTCGGCTGTTGATGCTGATCAAGAATATATATACTTTATAGGGTCGGAAACGTCTCCTTCACTGCGTTGCAAACTTCTGACTGAAATTATAATACCCTGCAAGGGTATAAAAAGGGGTGGAGTGTGTGTAGCAGGGGTGTGTGGTGTGGTGTCTGTCTTGCCTTCGCAGTCGCCTTGCTTACTTTCATTTCGGGACAATTATCTATTCAACGTCAAGCTATGCGAGTGCCATATATGAGTGCACACGATTTCGTCTCCTCCGCTACCAATTTTGTGTTAAGTGTTTGCGTGTTTACCCCTGCTAGTCTGCGTGTGTATTAGTATGTGTGTGTTGGTCATATGCCAGTGCGTCCTGGCCAGAAAACTAAACTAAAAAAAGTGAAAAAAAGGACCTGCCGCAGATTGTTAGCGGGCAAACAAAACATTAGCTCGTCGGCATTATGCTCCGCGAACGACACACTTGTTCATCAAACGCGAAGCCGAACGGTTGTGTGTCAAGTGAGCTGACCCAAGTGATAACTTAAGGATCGAACGTATATATATAGAGTGATCATCGTTGAGGCAAAGATTGTGTGCTTGATAAGTGTGAGTGTTTCAGTGGAGATTTAGTGGAGATTCAGTGAAGATTCTGTGAAGATTCTGTGAGGATCTACATTACTAGGAAGAAATTATTGAGATCAGTTTAGAGAGTTTTTTTTTAGAATTATTTAGGAAAAATAAATATATAATTCGGGCAATTTCTTACAATTTTCTTTTACGAATTTTTGGTTTAAAAAAACATTTTTAAATATATTTAAATATCATTTTGGAGCTTTAAGTATATTAAACATTTTTAAATATATTTTAAAAATATTTTATATGTTTAAAACTATTTCATATATCTACAAATATTTTTAAATATAATTTTAAGAAAATTAAAGCTTCATAATGATATACTATTCTTTAAATATTTCTAAAAATCACAATAATTTAGCTCATATATAAGTATTTAAGTTTTTTGTGCTCATTAATAAATTTATTAATAGCTTCCATCTAATATCCCATTTTTTTCCTTAACCTTTCCCAGGTGATATTGATTTCACAGACGACGAAAACGGTTTCGACATACGCTGTGAGGTCTGTGATAAAGTCTATCCGGATTTAGAACTGTAAGTACTGCCTGCTAATTGCCATTAATCAGACCCCCGCGGAGACCGCTCCAAGACTCCTACTTAAACCCAAAATTTCGCGTAGGAGAATGTCTGCATCTTAAATTGCTTTGGCATTTAAGTAGCCGCACCACCACCACCATCACCATCACCAGCAGCATCGGCTATAATCTAAATCACAAAAAAATATAAGCCAAAAACTCAAAACCAGCCCCCAATTAGCTTCCAACTTACCCAAAAGAATTATGGGTGCGCAATCGAAGTGTGTGTATGTTTGTGTAGAAGTTGAAAGAGAAAACCGACTTAAAAAAATAGAAAAAAACAAGACCCAGGAGATACAAAGTATCTGCAAATGTTGCTAAATGCTTTGGATCTCTGTAGATCTTAATTAAAACCCGATGGCGATAATAGTGCGGCCAATAAAAGTGCCATTAAAGCATTCAAAGCGTCGAAAGTGAGAGTGATCAGAGCTCTTGTGGTCTCTTGCTCTGGATTCCGCCTGGCGACGACCATGATTGGTTTTTTATGGGCCCAAATGTGCAATCTGTAGGTGTTAACTGTCGCTTAATGTCCCCCCCTATGACTGCCGAGGCATTTTCGATTTCGTTTCGGCTTTACTTAGATTTTAAAGGTATTTTTTTCGGAATCTTGGGTTTACGGTTAAGGGTTTTCGGTAGTCAGAGATTTAGATGAGAGATGAGAAGAAAGGGTACAAGAAAGAGTTGAGGGGGAATTTTTAATATAAACAATGAAACGATATTTAAAAATTTAAAGGAATATTTCTTAAAATATGTAAAATTGTAATATCAGGCTTATGAATTCATAAATAAATTTAAAGAAATTATTTTAAATTTATGAAAGAATTTTCTGAGATGAAGAACAGACTAAACATCTTAAAAAAATTTTTTTTTTTGGTTTAAAATTCGATCAATATATTTATTTCTAAATATAATTAACTAAATTCATTTAAGCTTAAATACCCCTCTTAAAATCCAAATAAAAATATAGCGTTTAATATTTACATCTTAAATTATATTTACAAAATTATTTAAAGCTTAAATAAACCTCTTAAAACTTTACCTTATCCTTCAATTTAAACACTAAACTTTGTAAAGCACATCAAAGAATAAACCTACAAAGTAGTTAATGCAAAAGTATTGTCTAATATTTACAAATGTTTTGCCTTGTAATAAATAAATGAAACCAAAAGCCACAACAACAACAACAAGGAACAAAAAGCAACAATTGCCACAACACGCAAATGACATTTCTATATAAAAAAAAGGATATAATCGCCCGATCTAGGCCCTCATATATACATATATTTAAGTTGAAGTGCTAAAAGCGAGCTTTGATTTGATGTTTTGGCCAAAGAGAGAGATGTGTTGTGTGTGTTGTTACCGTTACACGAGTGGGAGTACCGGGGAACCCCCGCGGACCGGCACTTATCAGTTGCCCAGTGATTTATTGAATTTTACATGAGGAGTCAGTCCAGGAAGGGAAGCTATGTGAGCAATGTCTGCGTGTCCGGGGCTGTCTCTCTTTTATTATATTTTTTTTGCCATTTATCTGATGTCGAACATGCATGGGTCTGTAAGCCAAACAAACGCCCACACTTCAGGTTGAAGCAGAAAAAAAAAATATATATATATATATCCAAATGGGGGGCTCTCGGAACTATCAACTCTTCCATGACGATGACAAAAAAACAAAAAGAAAAACGAAAACGTTGCCGCCTCTCCCGTCGACATCAGTGTGCTTGGTCTATATATTTTTCCCTCGCTTTTTTGCTTGATTTTTCTACGCCCACGAACAAAGGCGATAAGCATCTCAGAACCACCACAATTTTCCGTCACCAAGGACGCCTTTTCCCATTGGCTGCAGCTGTGTTCTGCCCCCCGAAAAAAAAAGATATATGGAGAGATCGCTTATCACCTGGCCGGGCGTATTAAATATTGAACATCATTTGACTAATTGACGCCCGTCCCAGGCAAAGGAAGGAGCAGGGATTTCCCTTTTCCCCTTAGATTCTCCATGGATTTCCTAAGGGAACAAAGGCGTGTGAACTGCCACACATGACTTTGATTGAACAGCGAGAGCCCCCACGAAAAATGTCACAATGCTAATTTCATTTCGGCGATGACAGGCCGATAACGTGGGGGGAAGGAAAATTAGTAGCTAGTCTTGGAAATTTACCACAGCTTTGAAACCCAACTTATCAGAATTTGTTTTCATATATTTCCAGGTTGGACGATCATCTGGTGGTTGCCCATCATTTCAAGCAGGACGACTACTCCTGCAAGCTCTGCCCTCTGCGATTCTGCCATCGTCCTTTGCTCATCAAGCACGAAGCGATCTCCCACAATAATATAAGGAAATATTCCTGCGAGAATTGCAGCAAGGTAAGTCCTTATAAAATATATTTAAAATAATAGGAATAAGTCAAAAGAAACCTTATAAATCACCTTATAAATAATATTTAAAATGTTTTAAAAATATTCAAAACCATTCAAATAAAAAGGTTTCCATTTTCTTTAAAAACTAGTTTAAAAATCTAAGAAAAAGTTACTTCTTACAAAGAACCTTTAGATTAAAAGATCACCCTTCTCCGCTGATCCATGAAACCTAACAATTGCAATGACGATAAAGAGAGAGCATCCAAAATCCAAAGCCATATACATAGCTTCTGTTACCGACATTAACCTTCGGTAAAAAAAAAAGTTACGCCGTCATTAATTATTGTATCAGCTTTTCGGCTTGGCAACAAACACATAAAAAGACTTTTGATTTCAAGCGGATCAATAGCCGCGGGCGGCTAACTTGGCTCTTAAGAGACGGTGTGTCTCCTCCACCATCCCACCATTACCCCCGGTGACTCCTTTAAGCCCGAGCACGCGCTCAAAAGCCGAGAAAAAGCCAAGAAAAAGCCCGAAATCAGGGCGTGTACTCTCAGCGAAACACTTAAGCGCTTTTTTCGGTAATGAAGAAACCCTGTCCCAGCCCCACTTTTCATTGTCTGGCATTGTTCATCTTCTTGGCTGCATTTGAATGCCAAAGCCAAAGCGAAATTGAAGGGCTTGGAATAGAGGCAACCATCCATCCATCCATCGAATCATCCGATCCAAGATCGGAGATCCCAGATCCATCCATTTCATGCGTCATTGTCATCGCAACTGCGACTGCCACGGCGACTTCGACATCTTCCCGAGATGTTTTAATGGCATGTTGATTACGATCTTGTGGTCTCTCTGGTCTCCGCTTTTCGATTTTCCCTTTTTCCATTTCCAAATCGAACCTCGAACGGTATTTCCAATGTCTGCCGCGCATTACAGTTAGTTTACTTAGCGCTCTGTAATTGTTTCGGTGGCATGTAAGTAGCACGCATTGTGGTTCCCCCCCAAACCGACTCTTTTCCATATAAAAAAGGGTAAAAAAAAAGAGACAGACCGTAGAAGAAACCCATCCCTAAACGGGAGCCACTCCGGCCCCAAAACAAATGATGATCGATCTTTTCGGGTCCAAGACTTTCGCTGGGCTTCGTTGAGCTTTCAAAGATCTCTCCTCTCGGTGCCTCAGCCTTTGCAGCTGTCAGCTTTGTTTGTTTTAAGCAGTTGGGCTTAAAGCGTTACCAAAGGGATTTGCCACGGATCTACAAGGTTTCTTTTGCCATCAGCAGCCTGAGTAGGCTCAATAGGGTTAAGGGGTTATAAAGTGGGGGGTTAAATAGGCTCAGGCAATGCGTGGGGTTATCTATGAAAGCATGTTCAAAAGGGGATAATCTTACAGAATAAGTGTTTCTACCAGAAAGAGAGCTTCTTTGAACACTTTTACAACCTTTTATTAGTAAAGATATTATTTATTATTTTTTGATACATTTTTTTTAAATTAATATTTATAAATTAAACCACTTTTTAGTTATTTTTCGCGTGTAACTTTAACCAGAAGTTTCAACTCCATTAGGCTACCAGAGTCTGATCCCATCTTCAGGCCATGCAACCGCGGGCACTGATGCCTTGGCTGACCCCAACGTACGCTCCTAGATCTGCCCCCCTCTGTCCCCTTCTGCCACACTCTGTTGGTGTCCCCCCTTCCATTACACATTCCATGGCAAAAGGCAGAGATCTCGTCGAGACTCCACTTCCTCGCTCCTGCCTTCTTCTCCTACTCCTCCTTCCTCGAATGCCAAAAACACCTACACTCAACCCACTGAGGCAACAACTGCTTTTCATCTTTCAAAACACTGAGGGAAATCTGGGGTTTTCTTTGGGAAATATTTCTTAAAAATAGGAAAACTAAAATAAATTTCTTAATAATATTTTAATATATTTAAATGTATTTATTTATTTAATATTTTTCTAAAATCTTTAAAAGAAAATCACGTATATCTCTTATATTTATACCCATTTTCCTCTCTGTTTTTCCTCTCTTGTTGTTATTACTGTAACACCATGATCGTCGTTGTCGTTATATATATATTTTCCCCCCTCTTTCCTTTAAAAAAATTTTTTTTTACCATTTTTTTTTATACATTTTTGTTGTTGTAGTTGTTGTCGCTGGTCTTTTGTGGCGTTTTTCGCCTTTTTGGAGAGTAGTTGAATCTAATCCATTTGATGTAGTTATAGCACGAGCTATTCTTGTCCGTCCCAGCCACCAGTCCCTCTCCTCCTCCACCTCCTCCTTCTCTCCCCCTATATCCCAGCTTTTGTGCGATGGAGATAGACAAAAAAGGCTGCCTCGATCATCGTTTGATATGAATTCGTAGCGCATTATGACAGCATGATTAGGCATAACAGTTTCGTACAGAAAAAAAAGAGAGAGATATATAGAAGGCAACGGGGGAGTCGAACTGCTGACCGAAATCAAGTTTGAAGTGGGTACACACAGAGCACCAAACTGGATGCCAGGCTGCCTCCGCTCCTCCTCCACCTTCACCTCCATCCTCCGGCAACTGGCCCCTAATCCTACACACCAAGAAGCCTCATGGATCTGTCACTGCTAAGTAAAAAGTGCGAGCTTGGGCTTGGATTTAGGGCTGGTTAGATGGAAAATATGGAAAATATTACATTTTTATTAAAGAAAGGAGCATTTTTTGAAACTATTTTAATATTTTTGTTGAATTTATTTTAATAAAACTATTAATTCTGGAGGATTGGTTCTTAGAAGTTAGATTACGGATTTCCTTATCCTATTTTCTATTTCAAAATCAATTTTTTAAGAATTTTTAATATATTTGATTATGAAATTTGAGGACCTATATCTTCATAATTTATTCTAACGAAAATTCTTAATTTTCTTTCTCTGTATCCTTTTTTTTATAAATATTTTTTCTTTAGTCACAACTTATTTCCAAGTTATTTAATATCTCCTTTCCCTTCACTTTAAGCAAGGGCCAAAGTCACTGGGCTTTGTCCATTGTCCAGCCCTGATATATCCACACAAATTCCGGTGGCCATTCGAGGCGCGGTGATGGATGCTTCGAGCTGCGAGGCAATGACAATTGTAGCAATTGATGTTAATAATTGACGAAGGTGTTCGTGGGAGGAGATGCTGTGTTGTTATTGCTTATGGCTGCTGCTCCGGTTTACCTTTGCGTAATCTCGGAGAGCGTCGGTAGAGCGTCGGAGTCGTCGATCGTCGATCGTCGGTTATTGTCTAGCCAAAAACAGATCCGTTTAAGCGGCAAAAGCTACGCAGCCAACAGATGATTGATTAATTTCAGTTTCATTTCATTTGATTTTTGGAACCAGATCAGGCCAACCAGTTCCCTATATTGTACAGTGAAAAAAAGTCTATAATTTGGTATAAAAATTTAAATAAATCAAACTAGAAAATTGTTCAAAATAAATAATATAGATTAATTTTCTTATCCCTCAGTTTAAATATATTTTTAAGTTATATTTAAGCCCTATTTCTACCCATTTTTCCCAGTGTACTTTATATATTTATTCCAACAACCAATCGCAACCAATCTCAACCAAAACTCTGATCTGTTTTGCAGGTTTTCTGTGACCCCTCGAATCTACAGCGGCATATTCGCGCCTACCACGTCGGCGCTCGCTGTCACCCTTGTCCAGAGTGCGGAAAGACGTTCGGTACCTCGTCGGGGCTGAAGCAGCACCAGCACATCCACAGCAGCGTGAAACCCTTCGCCTGCGAGGTGTGCTCCAAGGCGTATACGCAATTCTCGAACCTGTGCCGCCACAAGCGGATGCACGCCACCTGCCGCACGCAGATCAAGTGCGACAAGTGCAATCAGAGCTTCAGCACCTTGACCTCGCTGACCAAGCACAAAAAGTTCTGTGATTCAACGGGCTCGTACCGCCAGCAGCAGCATCAGCATCAGCACCAGCAGTCGCCGCTAAGTCGCCACCACCCGCATCCGCATCCGTACCAGCCGCATCCGCAGCATCCTCACCAGCATCCGGCCTCCAGGCATCCGGCAGCCGCCACAGTCACATCCGCCTCTGCAGTGCCTGCGGGAGGAGAGTCTACGGGAGGATCTGCCACTTCGTCTTCGTCTGCCACCGCTGCCGTTGTTGCCGCCATGTCAACGCCGCCGAATCCCTTCCTGATGTTCCGCACGGGAGCGCCATTCTTCCCCGGCTTCCCGCCGTACGGCCTGCCGGGAATGTTCCCGCAGAGTCCACTGAGAGCCGCCAACTTCCCGCTTTTCTTCCCCAATCCCCCCATGGACATGGGCTGCGGCATGCCCGGCATGACCTCGCCGAACTCTGCCTTCCGGCAGCAGTTGCCCTTCGGCATGGGTCCCATGGAGGGACAGGGAGGCGGAGGAGGTTCACCACACCAGACGGATGCCCAGTTAAAGGCGGAGGAAGAGGAGCACAACTTGTCTGTGAAGTCGGAGGATAAGCTCAAGAGAGAGCCCCTGCTGAATGTGTCCGAAGGCGATGAGGAGGAGGCTGAGGACGAGGAGGAGGACGACGCTGAGAGTCGTCATAGCAATCTGGACATGACAATCAAATCAGAGGAGGAGAAGGAGGCCAAGGTCAAGAAAGAGGAGAAGAACGAGGATCAAAGTGAAATGAAATCTGAACCCGAGAGACTGGGCAGTCCCGATCAGCAGCAGGTGGAGGATGATAGGGTAAGTGTCTATATGAGCTTGGCTTCCTTTTTGAACCTTCAACTTATTTCTATATATTTTTATCTTTCCCCGACCCTTAGAAATCCATTGATATTGTCAGCACGCCACCGCCCACGGATGCTCCTACTGCCGGCGATGCCCCGCTGGATCTCTCCATTTGCCGCAAGCGCCTGTCCGGTTACTTCCCGGCTCCGCCTGGCAGTCCTGGTCTGCTCTCCTCCAGCCTTATGCGTTTCCTGCCCTCCACCAGAACCGAGGAGGATGAGACAGATGGCGAGCCGCCGCTCAAGACGCGGAAATCCCACAGTTCCGGCGAGTCCTCGACGTCGCAAAAGTCCTACAAGGGCAGCAGTCCCACGCCCACAGCCTCGCCGGGGCCCACACCCTCACCCTCACCTCCCACCAGTGCCGGGGGAGAGCTGAGCAGCATGTCCGAGGGAGCTGGAGCTGGGTCAGGAACGGGACTGGCTGCCGCAGCGGCAGCAGCAGCGGCTGCAGCGGCCGCCGGAGCCGCGGAGGCTGCCCTGGCCGCCCACTATAACCGCCAGAATCCACCCATACACCCGATGGTGCTGGAGGAAATCTATCGCAGCCGGTTTTCTTTTTTATGCCCAGCGGGCGGACGGCCCGGCATTGAGGCTTTGCTGGCGGGAGCCGCCGCCGGCGCCGCCTCAAAGCGGCCGCTTCCGCCCGTTAAGTTCGCCACAGGGGCAACTGTGGGCTCCTCCGTGGGTCATCCGCTGAAGACAAAGGATCGTTATACCTGCAAGTTTTGCGGCAAGGTGTTCCCCCGCTCGGCCAATCTCACCCGGCACCTGAGGACGCACACCGGCGAGCAGCCGTATCCGTGCAAATACTGCGACCGGGCCTTTAGCATCTCCTCCAATCTGCAGCGCCACGTGAGGAATATCCACAACAAGGAGCGACCTTTTCGCTGCGAACTCTGCGACCGATCCTTTGGCCAGCAGACGAATCTCGATCGGCATGTGAAGAAGCACGAGGCGGAGGGCAGCAACTTCCGGGACTCGCCCAGCTCTGCCTCGGGCGTGGCCGAGCGGGAGGAGTATTTCGATGAGATCAGGACCTTCATGAACAGGGTGTATACGCCAAACAGCCTGGCGGGAAACGAGGGGGACACCGAGGACGATGACCAGTCCTCGGTGATCCTGGAGAAGAAGTCGCACCTCAACAACAATAACAACAGCAGCCACATTAGCAACAATAATCCCAAGTTGCTGTATTCGTGAGCTTGAAGAGGAAGAACTTGAGGGAAATCTTTGAGGGAAATTTTAAGAGAAACCTAAAGAAAACCTCGAGTAAAAAACTTGAAGGAAAACTTACTTTAACTCTTACTTAAGCGTGCCTCCGAGAGGGAAACCTATCTCTAAGTAGTTACCATTTTCCACTAAAACTAAAACTAAAAACACTAAAAATTAGCTATGCAATCAATGGAAAAAGACGGTGAAGCATCAAAACATAAACTATATAAAAACACACACACATCACTTAAAGGGAAGCTCTATAAACTATATACTTAATATATATATATAAAATATACTTAAACCCACTCTAAAAAACCACCTTAACTGTGTAGCTAATTAAACAATAATAATACTTCTGTACATAGACATATATATGCCAGTCTTAACTTCAACTACTTTGGAACTTTGTGGATTATATATATAAACTATATACTATCTATGTATATTTGGATATTTTGAATGTGTATACATAAATCTATATATGATATAATGTAAATCTTATGTACAATGTAAGTGGTAACATATTTATAGAGCTAATTATTGCAATTCTCAAGCAAAACACAACAAAATTTAAAATTGAAAATAAAAACCAAAACGGAAATCAATTTTATAACATTTACTTAACGTTTAATTATATTATTATTATTAAATATATTGAAAAATAAAAACAAAAAAGATCGTTATGAAAAATGAAAAATCAATAAATGAAACAATCGCATTAAATTTTTTAATGAGTTTAATTATTAAATTGGGAAAGGAAAGAAAAAGAGAATCAATTTTGAAAACTATATTTTGATGTTCTAAAACTATTTAAATATTTATTTACATTTCAAAAAGTCACTATAGGATTCATGGAAGCTTCTCTGTTGTTTCTAAAGGTTTCCTAAAATATTTATTTTTTTAATTGTGCAGACTAAAATATAAAAATTGCTCATCATAAAGAAATACCATTAAATGGTGAAAAAATATTTAGAAATTTAAAAATTCCTGAAATACCTTGTTTAAATTTCCAAGCAACTTCTTTTGATCATCCCAAGATCGAGGAATAAAAACCGCAACCAAAGTTTTGTGGGCATAATAAAGCCATTGAATAAGGTTGGCTCATCTACACTCAATTACCGCATAAAAGAAGACTTTATACACCCATCAATCCTGGCCGCAGACCCCGAAACATATATAATTGTGAACGAAGGCATTTGCCTATAAGCCAACTTGCCCTGGATTATTAATCATCCCAGGCGAAGCATAAATAGCAGATCGAGGGAAAAAAAGCCAACAAATACGCAGCGGAAAGCCAAAACTTATAGCTTTTTAATATACCTTCAGCCATCCATCTGGGATGCCCGATCCGAGCTCCCCGATCTCCGACGATCTCCGATCTCTGAATGCAAAGGCGTGATCGCAAAGCGAGTTAATTACCCTTCCGGTTTAGAGTGTGTTACGCCTTTGGCGAAATGCGGTTAAAACTATATGCCGCCGATCTATCCATGAATACTTTTCATTTTTTCGCTTTATTTTCTTGTTGTTGTACTCTGTCTTTTGTTTTTAACTGAATTTTAAATTGTATTAGCCGGGGCGCTCCGCCATTTGGCATCAATCATTTTTTGCTATTTTATTTTTTGGTGCTTTGTTTTCCTTTTTTTTTCAACCTGTGCATAACCATCGATCGACCGTTACTCGAGTGGCATATAGCCGTGTACAAAAGATCAGTCAAATAGCTGCGGTTCGGTCACTTTCGATTATGCGAAATACGCCTGGCAGTCAGTCGGTAGCCAAAATAATAATCTTCGGCCACAATTGGAGTCAGGCGGAGTCAACTCTGGGGTATACACACAGGGAAAATGGGGGTAATATAAACTGGTTATTTTTGAAAATTCAAATGTACAGTTTTTAACATTTTTTTTAAGTCAAAAAATGTCATTTTGGCTTATGTTTAAGTAATTAATATGAAATATAACTTCTTACAATCACTCAACATTTTTTTTATACAAATACACAAATATTAATTTAGTTTGGAGCTCTTAAATAAAATCTCTGAATTAAGAAATATAATTTTATTCTTTATTTCAATAGTTTTCAAGGATTAAAGAATTTTAAAAATATTCCTTAGATTTTATTTAACATTCTAGAAACAGAAAATAATTTAAAAATATATATTTTACACATATTTTTTTGCCTACAATTATTAATTTATTATTTTACCTTTACTTAAATATTTATTTCCCGTGCAACTCCCTCAACTGCCCCACCTTGTTTGGCCATGGTTGGCGTTTGTTGGCCCTGACCACAGCCAACTTCCACAAATTGTGCCACAAATTTGAACGCAAAACTGGCCAAATTATGCTAAATTTGTGTGGAAAACAGTAGATAATTGGTAATTGGTTTCACATCCAGTCTGCCACGAAAGAATCTAGACATTAGTCGGTTATTTGGTCACAGTCTCTCTTGGGGCGTTAATTGAAGAAGGCATAATTTGCAGTCCAGTGGAGCAGTCACTCGCTCAGATGATCGAGTTCTTGCCCAACATGTTGGCCAATTATATTTGGGGTTACCAATATCATATATACTACTATTACAAATATGAGAGCAACAGTTGTTAATGGATTCTTTGTGGCAGCTCAAGGAGACTGAACCGATTAAGACATTAATATTGCTTTGGGTTTATTGAAAACTTGAGAGAGGGAAGCAGCTGAAAGCGGTTTAAAAATAGGTAAAAATAATAGTTATAATATAGCAGAAATTCCAGATATTTTTCCCCCAGAAAGGTCAAGGAATGTGCCATTTAATAGCCATCAGGCTTGGGCAAGTGCTTTACCACCTTTCTAAACGCTTATGGCTGACCGAAATGCTTTTTAATATGATGATCCTCTCTCATAGCTTATAGTTTAGCCTAGGAATTTACCAAACTATCTCCCCTAGTAATTTCCCAAATCCAGATCTGTAACCTTATTGGGGTCACTCACACCTCGCTGATTACAGAGGAGTAGCAAAGCAGCCTGAAACCCAGGGATCCACCCACTTTCTGGGCATCCCGGAGATTTTTTTTCGAGGCTGTCCGTCCAAATGAGCCAACACATTATGATAACGAGCATGGCTAAACTCAAACCCGACGGTGGCCTGGATCGAAATGTGGAAATTCGGAGGAACCGAACGAAGGCGATCCATAACGCCCTGACTAAGCAACTGTTGATTATGTGCCAGTTGCCACAAATGGCCATTGTTGCGCCCCAGTTACACGCCCCGAAGAACCGAATCGAATCGGGGGGATATATAGTAGGGTTTCGAATGTGGTTATGCACTGGGGGAAATGGGCGTTAAGAAGCCCTAGAAATCATAGGATATTTATAAAAAAAAAGAGACGAAAGCAATTGTTTTCAAATGTTAAATACATTTTAATAAAGTTAACTAAGTATTTATTTAGCATTAAAAGAGAGTATCTTGAAAAAAATAATATACTTGCTTGATAAATATTACTAGTTTATATTTCTGGAATCATATTTATATTGAAAGTCATATATAACCTTTTTTATATGAAATTGCACGTTATAAAATCGTTTACATTCTTATTTATATATTTTAAATTTTCATATATTTAATTCCCCTTTTTTTTAAGTGTTTTTTGGGAGGAAAAGCGCATCAGTGCGCACATTAGGAACGACCGTTAAATGCGACTTTCGAAAGGCTGGGCACAAAATGCTAACTTAAACGGATGCAAATGTAGACACAAGCCAGAGTTTGAAGGGAATGGGAATTGTTAAAGGTTAGAGGGAAAAGGGGGGTACAAAGAGGAGGAGGAGGGAGGCAGGAAAGCCAAGTTGGCCACGTTAATGGCACAATTATGGCCAACGAAATCGGGCAAAACGGAAGACGTGCAAAGCGCAGAGCACAAACAGAATCTAGCCGAAGGATATCACGCGTATCCCATTGATCCATGGATCCATGAAGACCCACATTGCCCGGGACGGGGCTAACTCCGGCTAACTGTAGTTCATAACTTGGCTAAGACCGTCGAGTTGGGGGCTGAAGTTGAGACTGAGGCAGAGCTGAGTGATTGGGCAGACTTTTTTGGCTTTTGAATGAACTCACTGAAAGTTGGCTTATTTTGGGAATTAATTGAGGTTTAAGGATTCGTTTTAAAGTTAATAAAAAGTATATTAAATTAATAAAAAGCTTTTAAGCTTTTTATATAATTTAAAGTTGCAAAATTTCATTTTCTTCTTTTTGTTTTTCTAGAAATCCTTTTTAGGCTCCTGATTTTTTCACCATTTAGGAGAGTGCATTAAGACTTCGTCTTAAGAGTCGTAAGATCGTACTTTCCTGGCTTAGAAAAAAAACGGCAACCAGGGGGCAATCAGTCAGCAGATGTTTTCATTTCCTACTCGGGCATCGGCAGCCGCAGAAACGTAAGGAAAAAAAATAAAGTTAAGGCTGGAAAATCAGCCGAAGGTACTCAAGGCGCGCAGATGTTTGGCACAGTTTCGTGTGGCAAATTGCGCACAGTGGGCCCAGCGAAACGACGCCCGCCACCCCCACGGGGCAACTACTATGTAGACCCCCCTTAAGAGGGGGTGTAGTGGGGTCTCCTTCCTGATGGAATCAAATATTGTGCAAACTACAAGCGGCATCCGAGGGGCATCGAACGAACGTTCAACGGGATGCCGAATGTAAGTCAGACGACTCAGCTCCAGCGCCGCATTTGTATCTGCATCTTAAAGCCATGGAGTTTTGGGAGCTAAAGACTGAAGACTAGAGACTGAAGACTGAAGACTGCAGGCCGAGGAGCTGAAGACTCTGAAGACTGAAGACCGAAGCTTGTGTCATGCGCCTGGCACACGGCCTGTAACTAAATCACACTAATCAAGCCTCAAGTGCTGCTCTTTGAGTGCACTCGAAAAACATTTAACTGCCGAAAAGAAAAAGCCATTAAAATAAGCCAGGCAAGGAGTGTTTGGAAGCTGAATATGTCCTGAAGATGGGAAAGTTGTTCGTCAAGGCTTAAATACTTTATTTTGGGGATATTTAATAGCTTTATCGGGCTTTATTGGGCTCATGATTTAAAAAGGAATGGGTGTAAATTGAAAGGATTGAGTTTTTTGTAATTATAAAAAATAATATATTTTATTACAATTTTAGGAAATTAAAATAGCTGCCTTTAAGGTAAAGTTAACAAAGATTTTATATGGAATATAGCCAGGGGGAAACCACTTTCTTTATTAGGGATTGTATGTAATATCGGTCGAAAGAAAATATATAAATCGATATAAGCTTCGTATCAGCAAGAACCAGTTGGGAATTTTAAGGCTTGACAAGCGGAAAATTCATAAACTTTGCTCTTTAAATAGTTCGTAAGTTATTTCATAATATTTAAAAAAGTTAAATTGACTCCTATTAAAAGATTGATTAAAAAACTTGTTATTTTTTAGAGCTTATTTAACAAATCTTATTTTTATTAAAAACGTTATTTTATTTAAATTATTTTGCCTAGTATTAAATTAGATTTTAAACCTTTCCCTTTTTTTTTCCGTAATTCTTCAAGTGCAATCCAGTTTGTTTTTTAAGCTCTGCTCGTGCCACAATTTTTTCTTTTCTTCGTTA